CCTTTCGTTACAAAGTTCTAGAATTTACAATAAAAGCCCTAAATGTTCATTGTCAGCTCAAAGCTACAGAAATAAGGAATTCATTTAGGACTTTTCTTGTAAATTCTAGAACTTTGTAACGAAAGGTCATATAGAGCTGAGAGATGTCTCATTTTAATTAGAAATGTGCGCGCTACCATTATGCCTCATTAAGAAAGGTATTGGTTATTTTTTAGAGTTCCTGAAACACTGGTTTTCCAGAAAACCGGGTCTTCAAGAGCCATGGGGCAAAAGGCTTTGTGCCATTGTAATCAGCTCGTTGAGCTCTACAAACTAGGGTATGTTCCATTGAAAAGTGAGAGTAACACTTGGAGACCTTCCCTCGTAAGAACACACGATTCAATTTTTAGAGAAGCAAATAGGCTGAGCCTTCTATTATTTTCTTCACATCCGTTTTTCAGTACTAGGTGTCCATTGGTATAAACAAAGAAAAGCAGTATGGAAGAAAAAACTGCAATGAAGATCAAACAATTTCAGGAGAAAAGGCTCAAAAAGTTCGCATTTTCTCTTATTGATTTCGCTGAGAAAGAAAAGAGTGATCGATCTAAATCTCTCTGGAATGTAAGAGATTGACCAGCAAGCAATACTTGGTATATCATGAAGATCAGTCTTTTGTATTAAAAAATGAGATGATAAAATTAAAGACTGAAGTATTGTCAATATCATCCTTCAACAATATTGGATGAAGATAATATGGAAGAGGTGATAGATTATGACATGTTGCTGAGATGGGTTTAGAGCTATTGAAAGTGTTCAGAAAATGTTTTTGGTGTGTATAAGTTCCTGAGTTATCCTTTAAATAGAAAACTGATGAGGTGAAGTGTGCGATTCCTAAGGATCATTTCAGTTGATAAGAGTAAAATATAATATGAAATAGTTGATCGCGTATGAGTAATCGGAAAATGACTATGACTAACGTCTAAGACCGATTTTAATGATCGTCACCGACATTTGGTAACAAGTCTAGATTCATTTGCTTCGGTGGTTGAAAGTTGTTCCGCTTGTTCATCAAGAAAAGATGGAAGAAAATGTCCACGGGTAGGGCTGACTTAGATATTCGTGATCAGCGCGAAAGAATTCAAATCTAATACACCACGAGTACTACATGGAATCATAATTAGAAATCCGAACTTAGATAATCTGTCCAAGAAAAATCACTCGAGAGTACCTGCTCCAAGATCGTCTACAGAGTTAATTGCACCTGACTTGCTGAAGAAGGTCAACGTGAATGCACATCATACGGGTTACGACGGCGAACGCGATGTATTCTCTCCATATCAAGAAATGAGTTATTATTAAATAGGGCATAAAATGCAATAGTCATCAACAAGAAACTTCTTATAATTCGTAATTCTTCACGACAAGTTATGTATATATATTCTTCCTGACATGAGGAGCAGAGTGTGATGCTAAATAAGGGCTCGTACAATTCGATTACATGACAACGACTAGTGTTGTATAAGCACTGTTGATCAACACTATTATAAACATTACGAAGCCCAGGAGCAACCAAGAACCGCATTGTGACGGTGAAAAATAATGACTGCCGTAACATTGAACTAGCTGATGAATTAAAATTTTCATGATGTCGTTGAAATGTGTTAAAATTCCGGTATCCAAGTTCAGCGGCATTGTTGACAGCCAACTAGCTGCTCCTTTTGACTATCGCATCTCGTTATTACAAATATGCAGTTCATTATTAGAAGCGGAATAAGAAAATAAATTACAATCGATAGACCAAATGCAACAGCAGCGCTGCTATAGATAATTGCTGCAATTTAGTAAAATGGAAATTTTGCGCCAAAAAGAAATCGTAATGTAGATGATAAGATTTAATTATAAATTTCTTGTCATATGTTATGTAAAACAGGGAACGACTCTTTTCTAAAAAGAATTAGATACAGTTTGCTAGATATATCAACAAAAATGACTTCAAAGCTTTTCTATTTCGACAGAAATACCTGTATTCACAAATTCCTCTAACGGTTGATTACATATTGAATCTTTCAATACATCTGTGTTAATTCTATAGATATTCATTAACTCAATAAATACATCCAATGCATAAGCTTCAAAATCAAAATCTGGCAAGATATGACCTGCTATTTTTCGATTACGTTTCTTCACCATGATACTGCTATCAGATCGAAGTTTTTGACGTTCAGCACGGTTGTAAAGATAACCAGAGACTTGCACCGGATTTGATTTCTCATGACGGTTATCAACATCCAAGAAATATTTTATGCCTAAAAAAGAACTAAAGACATTGAGCAGCAGGGAAAAGACCGCAGGTACCATTGATCTGCAAGTATATAAAACAAAAAATAAGTGTTTTCGATCATTTTTTAAGAACTTGTGTTAAAAATGTTTAGGCATGCACTAAACCTAAATTCACAAATTCAAATCCGCCCAACCCCAAATCTCACCAAATCCCAAGGCTTACCAAATCCAAATTGATTTGGGATTTGGTAGAGTTGGGTTTGGTGAAATTCGGTTTGGTGAGCTCTGAGTGTCAGATGGGTTTGGTACATATCTACTTATGTTACGGATACCAATATTCGGTACATTATAGGTTTACATTCACATACCAGCTTGCAGCGCTTGCCTTATATGTTCGGATTCAGTAACATTGCTTACAACTAGTTTTTCAAACAACACCAGTTTTGTTAATGCTCCTGCAGTACCTGTAAAGATATATTGATATAGAAAAATGCATGAGCACAAAAGTAGGTACACACCTGTAATAGATTTAACATGTTTCCTGATTGCATGTACTTCATCTTTTACGTGTAAAATACTTGTCTCAGCCATTTACTCCTATTGTTCTTAATCAGAGATAAAAAATTAAAAACAGTGTGGTATGGATGCTGTCTTAGCAGCTGAACCAAAGAACTCGCGGTCGAAATACAGGAACAAGAATGAAATTTAAAAAATGCCGAAAAATATACTTTTTTCTGAGAAAATGAAAAACTCTTCGAGCAATATTGTTGAGAATCGAATATTTGAATGAAGTGATTTGGGAAAAAATATAAACTAGTTTTCTCGAACTATTCGATAAACGCGGCACAGTTCAGAGGAGGAGGTATACCATTTGATGTAAGAAGGGTGGCAATGAAGTTTTGATTAATCTCTAGCGAACAGGAGTAAAGATGTAAAATAGATCTGTCTCTGTTTGGTAGTAAGCATTTTTATCTATCGACTCAACTCAAAAACAAGTTTACTGGATGTGTCTGGCTTGCAAAACCTACAAAATAGTTGCGAACATTCATATCAGATTGGAATGGAAGTTATGTAGAAAGAACCCGAAATACAGCTCGAAGTGCACATCGACTAGGAATGCATCAATCCGACCACATGGTCGGGAATCAAGGTCCAGTATTGTATGATGGAAATCGAGTATAGTCGGAGTTGACCCAACTCGACTTTTTTTTGAAGAATGTTCTTTAGGATTGACTCAAGAGACTTTTGTAGAAAATTGAATTCTCTATTTTTTATTCTCTTGAGTTGACACAACGCGATCCTTCCTTCACGGTCAAAAAGTGACTAAAACCTTCTTCATACTGAAGCTCGGCTTCGGGAGACTGGGTCCTAGCAGAGAAAATGTTGGGCATTGAATATACCACATTTAATCTTGCGGTCGGAACACTCAAAACTGGTTCCTTCATAGGAAAAACGATATGTCAAGCATTTTTCCAGAAAGTCGAGTTTGGTCGACTAATCGACACCACTCGACTCCGACCATCTCGCTTCGAGTACACTCGACCTTGACCAAACCAAGTCGGTGCATTTCTAGCATCGATTGACCCATACGTAATTGTGTGAGATCACAAGTCATTGATCCGTTTAGTGGCAAATTAAAAACTGTATTTTCAAGTTTGTTGAAATCGAAGCACTAACTGGAAATCAATGTCCTTTTCCTTCTCAGAGCGAACGTTTTTCCCTGAACTCTTCCGATTTCGTTCGTTCATACGTCATTCGATAGAGTATATTGAGATAAGAGAAAGCCTAAAAGAGTTCGGGCTCATGGCTCTAAAATAAGATATCTCTCAGATCTTCTGACCGTTCTTTACAAAGTTATAAAATTTACACGAAAAGCCCTACATGTTCTTTGTCAGCTCAAAGCTGCAGAAATAAGAAATTCATTTAGGACTTTTCTTGTAAATTCTAGAACTTTGCAACGAAAGGTCGCGAAGAGCTGGGAGATATCTTATTTTAATCAGAAATTTGCGGGCTACAATCATACCTCATTAAGAAAGATTTGGGTTATTTTTCAGAGTTTCTGAAAAACTGGTTTTCCAGAAAACCGGGCCTTAAAGAGCCATGGACCCGAACTCTTTTAGGCTTTCTCTTATCTCAATATACTCTATCGAATGGCGTATGAACGAACGAAATCGGAAGAGTTCATCAAAAAACGTTCCTTCTTCAGCAGAAATCACGTTTTAGGGCCTGTTGTTAAAAACAGAAGAACTCTATGTGCTTACCCACAAATAAATAGGAACGTGCTTTGATATAATTGAAGGTAAATAGCTACGTTTGTAGTTGTATAAAATAGGTAAATAATTACCCCTTTTTAGTTATTTTTCTAGCTGTTCTGTATTCTTATATCATACTCTTTGTTTTGAGGACAAAAGGAAGAAAATAAGAAAGATGAAACTACCAACATGTGTACCTTTTAGAATATCCTTGACATAATACAGTATTAACTAGATATTCTTTTCCTGCTTAATATGCGAGACTTTATCTCTAGTCTTTTTCGCGCTCATCATCTTCTGCCTATGTGTTTGCCGCATAATTATCGATTTTACTTGGCACTGAACATTCCTTCAAATTCCAAAGATGACTTACAACAAGCTTGTACATCATTTCTGCGCGCAAGTGACAATATATACATCTCTGCATTATACACTGAATTCAATGTTGAAAACCGCAGCTATCTATCTTATTCAGATATAATTTTTTGTCATTTTCCAGCAGATATTGTCTCTCTTTCAGAACTTACTATACCTACAGTCTCTAGCGTAGAAACTTGAATTTGATTTAAGATGAAAATCCAGATAGGATTCTCTGCAAATTAGTCAAAAAACGTTTCATGCCAAAACGACCTTTATTGAAATACAGCCAATAATTGTGACAAGGAATTCTGGCTTTATAATATCGATTCAATTCGATCTATTATAATGTCGAACAAATTCTGGCAGATGATGTCTATTTAGTTACATTAGAGCGCCCACTCCTCTCGTCATATCATTCTACTGTAGGCTACGACATCTCTGTTGCTCTTTGTTGAGTGTTCCTACTCGATACAAAAATGTTCCATCTTATGGCATCGAACATTTTTGTCTCATGTTTACCTCACTCATCAACGGATACATCGAGCTTTCAAATTTTTGGCGCTCGGAATTAATGTTAGATGGGGGTATGATGATGTGTGTTGGTGATCTATAATTGGTCGCTTTTTATTTCTGATTTATTTTTATCGATCAATGGCTTCTTAAGACAGTCTGTTTTAAAGAAAAAACCATAAAGGAATTTTCTTTCTTTTCTTTTGAGAAGCATTCCACAACGCGTTTCGATCTTGTCTAAGGGTTTCATCAGTGTGGCTCTTTTCGGACTTTTTTAGTTGGATCATATTGGCACAAGCAAACAATATGATTCCTTCTCTTTTCTTAATGAGAAGCGGAGTTCGTCTTAGAATTCAGTCTCATAAAAGGTTCTCACTCTTTGTTTGAACAAGCGGCACAAATGACTGTTCAATATTGTATAAACTTCCGTTTGTTTATCTATAGGCATACTTCTTTTTCTTTTCCTAGTCTATATGAAGTATGACTCTTCTCTATCCTTTCACGGATGAGAGAATTTGATTTCTTCTAGTGAAAAAATTCTAAGAAATTGTTCGTGTTCATCACCATGCCTAAATTACGGCACCAATTTCCAGCGTAGCAACTAACGAATAAGTTTTCATGAACCCAGGACGATGATTACGACAGCCGTAAACGGCCGTATACTACAGTTTACGATGAGGGATATTGTAGTATACGTCAAAATACGACGAAATATGATGAGATCTACCGTGGAGAGGATTACGACGTCTTATTTTGTCTGGAATGGATGCGACCGTTTACGATGGGATACGACGTCGTAAAACGTAATATACGGTCGTTTTTCGTCGTTTTCTAGTCACCGTTTTGTCATCTACGATTGATTCCACTATGTTTTATTCGTTCAATATCACGGAAATGAGACATTTTTGTATATGCCGAAGAAATCCGAAACAATAAGCGAGTGAAAT